TGGAGCAGTGCAGGCCAGAACAGAGAGGGACCCCAGGGAGGCTGGAGAGGTGTCCACCCCACCTCCCAGCAGAAAGGAACCCCAGGAGAAGGGGCCAGACTGGCTCTAGGCTGAGTACTGGGGTCAGAGTTTTGAACCCAGAAAGCAGAGACTGGACAAAGGTGAGCCCCTCTGAGTCTGGTCCTCCCCAGGTGGGCCCCCAAAACCCGTGGGCACCCAGGGATTAGCTGGGCTGGGAAGGGTGGGGTGGGGCGGGGGACTTCCTGGAGTGTAAGAGGGGTGGGGTGGGAAGGAGGCAGCAGCCCCCAGTGGGTCCTGGAGGCAGAGAGCACTCCGTGGTGCAGCAGGATAAAGTGGGCCCCTCCCTCCTCGTGCCCGCCTGGCCTCATCCCCCGCAGCCCATGCCCACCTGCCTCTGCCCCAGCCCCATGCCCCTCACAGCCCAACTCCCTTCCCAGGAATGGAGGCTCACAAGGGCAGGGCCTCCTTCAGGTGGGGGTGCATTTAGAGCAGCCCTGGGCTCCGCCAGGGGTCCTGTTTCTATGAACTGCAGGAGTATGGAGTATGGTCCACCCAGCGCAGCAGTGACTGCAGACAGTGCCTTGTGGCTAGGCAAGCGGGACCTAGACCTCAGCACTGAGGGGGCAGGGAGAGGAAGGTGGGAACGAGCCCACTTGCCCACAGCAACACCAGTGCCCATCCAGGAAGTGGTGGGGATAGAGAGCAGGGCACGTGAATGAGCACACAAGCCTGAACGAGAGCGGCCTCGCTCCATGCACAGGAGGGCATGCTTGCTGCTCATGGGGCCCTCTGCCTCGGTCCACCTCTGCCCAGGGCTACCTGCTCCTAAAAGGCTTTCTTGGGCAGCACATGGCCAGCCCCGCTGCCCATTGACATCAGCAGACCTGCTGTTCAACCCCAGGCCTGTCCACCCACTGCTGCCTCTGGGTCTGAAAAGCAGCCCCATGCCCAGGAAGTCCCTGGGCCCCCACTCCCACCTGCATCCAAAGGGCAATTGTGCCCAAGCAGGAAGCAGGGGTGAGTGCCACATGAACCCCCAGGCAGAATGTCACAAGGGGGACATTCTCTCCACTTGGCACACTCTGCTGGGCCTGTGACTACTGGGAGCTGGTCTCAGCAGAAGCATGGGGCCCAGGCCCACACAACCCCGCCCCACCCCCACTCCTCCCTGCCTGGGAACACAACAGAAGACATGGAGGCTCCAGAGACTAGCTGGTCAATCTGCTCACTGCCCAGAGTAGGACAGTACTGCCAGGCCCTTGGAGCATCCTTGCCCAGGCCAGCCCCCAGTTTCTGCAGACCCCCAAAATCCCAGGGAGGCCCCGCAATCTACAAGGAGAAGCTAGCCTCCCAGGCATCAGTCCCACCCACCTTGGCCAGTTCAGTAGGTTCTGGGGCTTGGCTTGACCAGGATAGTCATCCCAGCTACACTCCCAGCAGCTACACTCCTTGTGGGTATCACATCACAGAAGAGGAAACTTAGGCTGGGGAGGAGATGGGCCTCCAAGAGAACCTGGTCCCCTGGCGCTGGCCTCTGGCGAGTTGTTAGGAGTCATTCTGCCCCAGCAGGTCATGCCCCAGAAGTGCCAACACTGTCCTGTCTGTCTGAGCTCTGCCCTGGAGCGCTTAGGCCAGCCCAGGACACCACCCACACCCTGCGGGCCAGCACAGGTCCTCTGGACCTGTCCTCAGCCTGCCACAGGGCACTTAAATGCACACGTGTGAAGAGCAAAGGCTTTGTGCACAAGTTAGACACAGGGGCCATCCTGGCACTGCACCTCAGGCTGGGTCTCCAGGCAAGCCTGTGCCCTGTGTCCTGTCTGGAGCAAGGGCTCAATTTCACCAACTTCCACCTGGTGGAGTGTCGCCAATGGGCCCTTCTGATCTTTTGATCTTTCGGGCTGGGCAGGGCCCCCTGCTTCAAGCCCCAACACCCAGTCTGCATTATACCATCTAGATCTACCCTGGGGGCCCTTCAGCTTCATACCTGCCATGCTGGCCAGGAAACTGTCCAAATGGGGGTCCATGCAAAACCTCTGAATGGAGGGCCCTCGGTCCACATGCCAATCACCCTTAGCCCAAAGAGGAGAGGGAGGACACTGGGTTCTGGCCCCCAAGGGCCGGGGCACAGATGAGCAGGGCAGGGACTCACCGTACACAGCAGTCAGGGCACAGAGCTGGCTGTGGGGTGGCTGCAGGAGTGCCGTCTCTCCAAACCAATGAGAAGAGACAAGGGTCCACTGTGTGGGTGAGCCGGGAGCTGGCCACCTCCCAGGGTTGCATCAAAGCCCTCCTGCCAGCGTGCAGTGCCACACAGCAAGCAGGGGATACAGGCGAGCTGCCGGGGAAGGCAACATCAGGACACACAGGGCCCCTGTCCAGTGGGCTGGCTCCACCCTGGGTGTTCAGGACTGAGGGGTCACCCTTCAACAAGGCTCTGCTGCACCCAGCCTCCAGACACCCATGAGAACCCAAGTGGGCACTATGCCCCTGCACTCCCTGACTCTTCACACCGCAGCCTGGGTACCTACTTGCCCCTCGCTCGGACCCTGGCCCCTTTAGCCCTAACTGGGCTCCAGCCCTGTGCCTGTGCTTGGGACCCCAGCTCCGACCTGGTGAGCCAGCATCTCACCCCCTCCCCAGCACCAGCCACCTCTCAGGGCTACTGCCAGCCTGCCCACTCACCCACTGTCCCTTCCTGATATCTCCTAGGCACCACTGTCCACTTGACCACTCCCCAGGCCAGGGTCTCAGGGGAGGCCACAGCATCCCAGTGCTGTCAGTGAAAGGGGCTGAGGGGAGACACATCCCTGCTGCCCACTTCTGTGACTTTCAGGAAACCTCCTGGCATGGTCTCCTGCCCTCAAGGGCCCCATCCAAGGCAGGTCAGCGAGGGTCCACCTCCCGTCCCCTTCGCCCCAGGTCCATGCCTACTGCCATCTGACAGGCCACCCGCTGAGCACCCAGACCCAGGGAAACAGTGCCTCGAGCCCTGCATCACCTGTGTGAAGCCCCCAAGGGCTTTGGCTAACAGGGTGACCCGGAGGCCACGGAGGGAGGTGACTCACACATAGGCCTTGTTCTGTCTGTTTAAGATTTTTAATATTTTAGTTAGATGCCCTCTTTTTAAAAACATGGAGATTTGACATAAAAACCTATATTTCCAGCTTCTCTTGAAAAATCAGAAGGACTGCCTCCTGGGCTTCCCCCACCGCTAAGGGTACCTGCTGGCTGGGACCAGCATATCCCACCCTGGTCACCTGCAGTTGCTCACCAGCCCTGACCCACAGCCCACAAAGGCACGGATCTGCCCCTCCCCGAAGACGTTTCGGCAGACGCTGAGCTCCGGCCTTCCCAGCTGTGCAGGGCGCCAGCTACACACTCCATTTTGGATGGGCTCCTGGACAGCTTGTTCCCGGTGCTCTCTGTTCCAAACTGCACGCACTTGACGTTGTAATAAATGCCCCGACCGACCTCCACAGAGACAGCACCGTCTGCATTCCTGCCAGGCTGTTGCTGCACAGCTGGGGAAGGGCCCATGTCCTCCGGCCTCACCCGGTGCTGGGCCACGGTGCGACTCTCCCCTGAGACAGCACTCCCTGCCTCTCACCCTGGACTCCCACACTGGCCCAGGCTCGTGAGGTGTGGGTCTCGTTCCTTAGCTCCTTGAAGGAGCCTGCCTGCCTCCCACCTTGGGGCAACCTTCTCCTCGTCTGGCTGTGGCCTCATCGCCTGCCCTGTGGCTCCTCCCGGGTCTGACTTCCCCACACCCCCTCAGATTATCCCCCTGCATTTCCCAGGGTTGGGGATGAGTGACCCTCTGGCTGGGCTCCCAGCCGACTCTGACCCCTCGCAGTGTCTGCCTCTTCACTGTCCCTGGTCAGTTTATGGAAGTCATTTTTCAATTTCCCAATATTCTTTTATTCTCAGATTCTCCACAATACCTCCTCTCATCTCGTTAAAAATTCCCTCTTAAGGATTCCCTCCACTAAACGGTGTCCGAAGCAGCTGCTGCCTGTTCTGCTTGTTTGGGGGGGTCTCCTCTTTTTCTGAAAGTACAGCCATGCCTAAATTCAGGGGCACCCTCAGTGGGTGCCCAGGCCCAGCTGCTGAATCTTCTGGGCTGACGTGGAAGGAAGAGGACCTGCCAGTGCCAGGCACACAGCCCAGGCTGGGCCCCGAGGCTGAGCAAATGAGAGCAGCTCTGTTTCCTGGCTCCGGGCAGCCTGCATTTCACAGGGCACAGGCACCCCCAGCAGCCAGAAATCACATCTGCACAGGAAGAGGGTCCTCAGCCCCTCCCCACCAAGAACAAAGAGAGATGTCCAGAAGCCACACTGCAACTGCATCCACCATGGTCTCCAAGGCAACCAGGCATGCAGATGGAACCAAGGAAACAGACGTTTCCTCCACTGGGTATCAGGGGGGCTCTGCCATCAGGAGGCATGGCACTGAACCACAACTTGTGCTCCAGCTGAAACATTTGTCTCATTGGCAATTTTAACATATCTCAATCTGAAACTGTTCTTCAGTTGGAAATAAGCCTCATACAGCCAAAGATGGGAGACTGCACGTCCCAAACGCTCACTCCCTCGCCCCTGCTCTACAGGCCTGTCTTCCAATCCCTGCCTGTGGCCAGCGCCGTGCAAACTCCAGGGAGCTGCTCTGAGCACCTTCAGGGATCCACAGCCCTCTGGGTTCCCTGGACAGGTGTTCTGATGGGCAGTGTGCTGACATGTAATTAAAAATCACTCGCTTTCCCACCTCGTAAGACTTTTCCATTTGATGAACAGGTTCACATCCTCAGACCACGTGTGCCTTTTGGTCCTAGATTTGCAGCCCTCACCCAAAAGGCTGCCTCCAAGAGGGTAGATCACAATGCAGCTCTCTTCATAGGCGACTCCGCCCTGAGGATCAGTGGGCTGGCAGGGTTCGGGTCTCCCAGGTAAGCCAGAAGGGCCACTCTGAGTCTGAGGCAGCGAGAGGTGCCAGCTTCCACCGGGGACCCTCTCCTGGGCACTGGCCCACTACATCTACAGGAAGGGGATGTTCTTGGGGGGCTTCTCCGGGAACTGCTGGGTGTACAGGTGGGCCATGTACTGGAGCTCGGGCGTGACCATCCTCTGGCACACGTGCCATGTGTGGTTGTCCAGGCCCTCCCTGAGGTTGTAGCCCAGGATGTCAGCCTCGCCCGACTGGAAGGGGCGCAGCTGTGGGTCGGTGATCTGTGACTGGTTCTTGGGCACACCGTCCTGCAGACACAGGGCCTCGAGCTCACGCCGCCGCGCCCGCAGCTGTGCCACCTCTGAGTGCAGCCGCTGCAGGCCCAGTTCAGTGTGCACACGGGCCCAGAAGGTGTGGTTGAAGTGCTGGTAGAGGCGCCAGTCCAGCGCACACCAGCGCTTGGCGTGCTCCTGGCTCTCGCGTGACAGGCTGGCCACGCTGTGCTGGCTGCGCGCATTAAGCCGGAAGGCCACCACATCGTCCAGCTGCCAGCGCAGCAGGTGTCGCAGCAGCACCAGGGACTCGTCCAAGTGCTCGGCAATGAGCACCAGTTGGAAACGCCGCTGCACAGTGGCCAGGCGTGCGCGCACGTAGCCATCGGCAAGCGGTGCATCGCTGTCAAAGCCCAGGTCGAACCACATGCTGTTCCTGGCATAGGCATTGCTCAGGCCCGCGCTGCGGTTATAGTAGGTGTCCGGGGAGGCCAGGAAGGCGTCCAGGTTGGGTGCGGCCCTGAAGGCGGGCACCACGGCTCGGTAATAGGTGAAGGAGGACTCCAGCTGGGAGACGGGGTTTCTGAGGATGGAGAAGTAGAACGTGTCATCGTGCATGACCTTCTGCACCTGCAGGGAGACAGAACGGATGGGCGGCTGACTCTCCTCCCGGAGCCCAGGAAGCACCTGGCCTCTTGCGTCACCCTGCCCCCAGGCCTCTGTCCCCTGCCCCCTGCTCTGCACCCCTTCACCTCTCCCACCCGTCTCCCTGCATCTGTCCAGGCCACCTTGCTCCTGTACCCGCTCTTCTGCACGAGGGTCCAGGATGACCCTAAAACACCTGAATCACATGCCCTCCCCAAACCTTCCCTCTCCTGGCACTCAATCAGGGAAGCCTGGGGGAGCAGGTGACCTCTGAGCTGGGACCTGGGTGACCCAGCTGTGCAGAGCATCCATGCCCAAGGGGACATCCTGGGGTGGGAAGAGCCAGGCAGGCCTGAGAGCCAAGAGGCAGTCAGGGAGGAGGAGGGAGAGAGCGGCGGGCATGAGGGTTGGGGTCTGATTTGCAGAGCAGTTGCAGGCACCAGGCAGCCAGTCGGGGGAGCAGCAGGGTCTGCACAGGCCTCCACCAGCCCCCCACAGCTGCCCAGCCCGGAGCCCTAGTCTCTCCGGAGGCTAGTGCGCGCCCTTGCCGCGGTCACACCTCAGAGCCGCAGAGGGCAGCCCGGGCTGGGGGCAGAGCCCCCCCGCCCCCAACACGCTATGCAGCTGCACCTCACCTCAGGCAGGTTAAACCTCAGGTGGTTGCACATGATGTTGAAGCGCCTCTGCCCACCATCCGGCCCGGCGCCCTCCACATAGCGTGCCACAAAGAGCCAGGGGTAGCCCAGGTGGAAGCGGGTGCCCGCGGGCAGTGCCACAGACAGGTTGTGTGCCTCGGCAAAGCGGAAGAGGACATTCAGCACCGTGCTGCTGGCGGTCTTGTGAGTCTTGAGGAACATGACGTTGGTGACAGGCGGCCCCTCTGCCCGGTCCCCGGGCAGGCTGGGAGGAGAGCACAGAGCTGTAAGGCAGCAGGGGCCCAGGCTGCCAGAGCCCTGCCGGAGAGGCCCCACCAGCAACACTCACCTGCTCCCCCAACCCCAGGACCCCCAATCCAGGAACCCCCTAACTGCATGACTCCTGACTCAGCAAACCCCAAACCAATGCCACCTACCTGGAGACCCCCAAGCCATCTCCCATCAGCAAGATCCCCCAACCCACAATCTCTACACTGGTGACCCCCAACCTGTGCCCCAACCCCAGCCTGTCACTGTGCTCCCCCAACCCTACAGCTCTGAAGGACCCACTGGCATAGACACAATTATGCCCTAAGTGGCTACACCATCTGTGCCCAACATACCACAGGTGGGCCCCCCAGCCCTGGTACCCCCTCAGCTCCCCAACCTCCCGTGTGGCTCCCAAGGCTCCTTCGCGCTGGATGCAGGGCCGATGCAGCGCTCACCCCACAATGCCTTGCCAGTGCCTACCCAGCTGTGGACGCTGTTTGGAACAGTAGGCACCTCCCTGTCCCATCACAGGCCCCGAAGCAAGGCCAGGGAGAAGGACCTGGAATGCTGGGGGACAGGGCCCAAAGGCCTGTGCCGGCCCTGAGGACAGTGGGGCCGCTGGCAGAGACCCAGGAGCTTTGGCCCTCCCCATCTCCCAAGGAGACCCAACCAGTTTGGGGGGGCAGGAGAAGGTGACCTGGGGCCACAACACCCTCCCAGCAGCAGGCTGAAGCCCTGGGCCTGGGCAGCCTTCCGTGTGGACACTGGGCTGCATCAGGACAAATCAGCAGCAGGCAGGTCCTGACCTCCCAGAACCACCAGGTACCAGCTCTGCCTTCCAGCACCTGGGCTCCTCTGCACATGGCAGATCTGCCCAAGATATGGCAGCCAAGGCCCAGCCCCCAGGGGTGAGGGGGAGACACCGGGAGGGCCTCAGGAGGCTAATGGGCCCCCCACGAGGAAGGGCCCGCCCCTCCTCTTACAGAAGGAAGACTGAGGCCAGCAGAGAGGCATGACCTGCCACGGTCATTGGCCAGTGTTTGGTAACACCCTGTGGTGGGCAAGCTGGGGCCCCAGGTGCTGCTCTGGGAGGGGCAGTACCCAGACTGCAGGGTACCCAATGCAGGACTCACGTGAGCAGCCCAATGTCCGTGCACAGGAAGCCTGCCAGCAGGAACACAGTCAGGACCAGGAGGAGGAGGACCCGGAAGCACCTGTGGGTGGCAGGAGCCTTCAGCCCCCTTAGGCCCTGTCCGTGCCCCACCCTCAGGGTCCCTGTAAGAGCTTGTATTGAAGACCTGCAAGAACCACCGTGGGCATCCTGGGGCAAGGGAGAAGAGACCAGGCCCCACCCTTACCCGGCCCCTGCCCCACCCTCACTGCTCAGAAGCCAGGAGAAGCTGGGAGGCGGGATGTTCCTGACAGGTGGGTCAGGGGACCCTGCCCCAGAGCAGGACCCCCTGGGGTAAGTCAGGGGAGGGGTACCACAGGACGAGACCCTTGGAGGGCCTGCCTAGGGGCCAGGAGCTCAGCAGGGGGGATGCAGGCCGAGGTCGCTGGGCTGGGGTGCCCAAGGAGACACTAGCCAGATCACAGAAGAAACAGGGCTGTGATGAGGCCTGCCCTGGGGCTTGGGCAGGGAGTCCTGGGTCCTGCCGTCCCCTGGACGAAGGAGCTGCAGTGCCCCCTTTACCCCTCCTTCCGTGGCAGAGATGCTCACATCTGGGCAGTGCTCCATGGCAAGCAGTGGGTGACAAAATGGGCCAGCATGAGAGGCCTCCCTGCCCCTCCCCACCCCGAAGGCCACCTTGACCAAAAGGCTGGGGGGTCCTGGGAGAGGGAGAGGAGGCTCCAGCAGTCTGGGCTCACCATACACGTGCAGGGCACCCCATATTTACATCCCCAGCCTGGGCTCACCAAAGGGGTATCTGGGTCACTGGGGCATCAAAAGGCCTTGCAGTCACCAGGTCCAGAACACAGCTTCTAATCTGCCCCCCAAGCCCACTGCCCCTCCCCCATGGTGGACAGCAGTTCCTCTAGCTACTCTGGCCGTGGGGGCCCCTCAAAGTGCCCTGTGTTGAACCAGGCCCACTCACTTCCTCCTGGGCTCCTGGCAGCTGTTAATCCCGGGTACCCTGCCAATCTCCCTTGGCAGCCCACACTACCCTTTATTACATAGCCCAGCAGCGTGCCCCAGCCCTCCCCCTTAATTGAAAAAGCTCCTCTACTGAAACCCTCATTGAGTGTGTCACCCCAGGAAAAGTGCAGGTCCTCCCAGTACTCTCCACGCCCATCCTTGACCCTCCCACCTCCCTCTCCAGCCCCGCCTCTCCTCCCTGGTCCTCAAAGGCCTCTGGGACTTTGCAGTCACCCAGGCTTCAGCATGGTACCCTCTTCACAGTTATCCACACAGCTCCAGTCTCTGCTCGACTCCCACCTTCCCCAGGGGCCTCCCCACCTCCCTGCAGGAGTGATGTCCTGTCCTGAGTGGTTTCCCTTCAGTGGTCATCACCTGAGGGTCACAGTCACAGTGTCTGTGCTGTGAACTAGCGAGTGGTAAGCATTCCTGCTCCCGGAGGAGCATCCGGCATGTGCGAATGTTCAGCCTCTCATTTGCTGAGTGAATGAATGATGAACCAGGAACACACTCCCTCTCCCAAGTGCAGACACCCCTGTTTGAGATGGCCTGAGATGGAGGAAGGGGAAGCCATGGGGCAGGGACAGGTCTGGAAGGTGGGGAGATCAAATCTGTTGAGTGTGAAATGTCTGTGACGCCCAGGTGGAGATACCAGGCAGTGTCTGGAAAAGGAGTCTGGCGCTCAAGGAGTTGCCAGGGCTGGGACACACATATATGCAGCAGCATTAAAATGTCCTTTCACTTAGCTCCTCAGCCTTAGAAGTCAGAAACCAATCAGAAAATCTAGTGGTGGATTTTCCTCATTCTAGACGTCTGGAGAAGGGAGGCCACTGCTTCTGGCCAACTCAGCCCCATCATGTTAGGGTGTTTATATCCTCTCTTCCTCCTCAGGTGTGTCCTCATAGTCACAAGATGGCTGCCAAGCTCCAGATATCACAACACTGAGATCAGAGAGGGGAGGAGGGACAGGCCCCACCTTGATAAGCAGCCAAAAGCCTGCTGGAAGCCCCTAACCTTGTTGGCCAAAACCCAGCTGCAAACGGGCACTGGGAAAGCTTTATGCTGAGCTTATAGCCCCTGCAGTGGGGGGACAGGGAGAAGGTGGTGGGTGCTCGCCTCAGCTATATTTATGCAGATCTTGGGCCCCAGCTGGGCTCACTTATGGAGGCCGGCACGTATTTGAACATAATACAAGAGGCCACCTCTTTCACAGCCTGGCTAGTGGCCCAGGACCCACGTGGCTGGGCCAATAGCGAGGGGCTCCCTGAAGCCCAGAACTACCCAGATGTCAGTCCTCTGTTCAGTCCTGACACACACATGGCAGGCACTTCACTGGTGCTGGGTTCCACTTACAGAAACCACAAACTCGATGGCCCAGAGCACAGAGCCACTGAGCAAGATGGCAACACCCTGGCCCGGCCACCTGGGGGCGCACAGCAGAGCACCGGAAAAACCACCACCTTCAGAGCCTCTGTGGTCCTAGCTTTTATTTTCCTAGCATTGACTGATAAACCCCCATTATTTTTCTGCCTCATTAGTGATTTCAACCCCTGTGCACTAAGAGTACCTATTTGCACTGAGGTATTTTTGGCTGATTTTCCAGCAGCAGCAGTTCTGTGTGGCTCCTTGGCCCAGAACCACTCATACCTCCTCAGCAGGGGACAGTACCCCCCTGCCCCTGATGCATGGCACAGGTTCCTTGCCCTCTTGCAGACAGGGTCAGGTGGTAGGAGCAGGGGTCTTTTCTTCTGCCTGGAAAGCCTGAGCCAAAATGTTCCGGAACCTCCATGGGGGGGCCTCGGCCTCCTTTGGGCTGTCCTGCTCCCATCACCCCAACCTCCTGCATGGGACCTGACCACCCAGCTGGGTGACACTGATGGTGTAGTGGATTAACCAGATTAGTCCTACACCCCAACTTCTCGGGGAAAGGAGGTGCCCACGTGCCCTGCATGACCCCTCTGCGAGAAACGACACGGTCTTGGGTTCCGAGCACTAGAGACGTGACCCTGAGAGGAGCTGCCCAGCCTGGCCCCCGCCTCCAGGACTGACTGGCAGGTGCTCATCGCCTGTCCTCAGACACATCTAGCAAGGCTTCGAGACTGTACCTCCCTGGCTGATTTTGAGTTTCAAAGCACCCTAGAACACTGCTATCCGCTTATATGATGGACCTGAGGCCTCTCCTGGGCAAGACCTGAAGTCTGAAGGGGCGTTTCAGACTCCTGGGTTTGAAGAAGGGGAAGGAAGAGGACCACATATCCCCTGGAACTGAACTCTGGGGCCTGCATCTCCCCAGCAGGCTGTGCCTGGCAGGATAGCCTGCCCATGGGCTCCTGCAGTGTGGGGAGCAACTGGTGTCAAGCAAGCCTTGGGTGGGGGTGGATGGTAGTGGCTGGAGGGGAGGAGGGGCTGGACACCATGTGGGCCCACGGCCTCTCAGTGCAGGCGGTCAGGTCACAGCTATGAGGGGCTGGACACCACACCTGACTCAGAGCTTTGTGTCTGGAGAGGACACAGGGATGAGCTCCCTGTTTTGACTGAGGCTTCCACGTCTGGCTTGAGGTGCTCAGGAGTGTGACAAGCAAATGGGGGAGGAGTGATTCCAACCAAGGGGAAGCACTGGTGAAAAGTCGGCCTGGGAGGAAAGGGCAAAAGGCAAAGGGCAAAGGGTGGGAGTCCCCATCAGCGGGGTGACGCTAGAGCAGCAGGGGGCCCAGACTCCGCCCCTGCGCGATACCTCCTGCGGATGCGGTGCTGTATCGGCCAAATTCCTGGGCGGGAAAATGGCTGTTCCTGCGCTGCCTTCAGACACTTCTGGCCCCAAGCCCAAAACAAGGAGCAGCAGGTCACCCCCCCACACACTGCTGCCCCCACCCCTCTGCTTTCTGCATAAGGTGATCTCAAAGTTCAATACAATCCCAAAGGGATGAGGAGCCTCTGTTCTGGCAGATACGGAAGGTGCAGAAAACCACTCTAAGGCTGCTTGTTGTTAGTGTGGAGCAGAGTGAGCCCAGGGGAGGGGCAGCGATGGCAGAGGGTAAAGGAGGACTTCCAGCAAACCTCGGGGCCACAGCTGGCTAGCTCTGGAAAAGCATTATGTTGGGCTTCCACCTCACTCCACTGATCAGAATACAGTGCACACAGGCCAAAGATTTCAATGTGGCAGGCATGGCACGCTCAAGGCTGTCCTTCACTGTCAGCAGTGTCCTGATGGAGAGCACCTGTCAGGACCCACAGAGCCTTTGCCCAGCTCACCACATGTGTCCCAGCACACACGCTGTACCCCATAGAGTCACCACGTGTCACTCTTACCCACTGGGCACAGGGAAGCCACATGCTGGGATGTGGGGAAGAGGCCTGAATCCAGAGCCACGTTAGCCAGCAGCCCATACTGTCCTGCCCACACTCATTCACTGTGGCCCAGCCAGAAAATAAACAGAGGAAGGAGAAACACAGGGCCGAGACATGTCCAGCAGAACACACCAGTGGAAAGAACCAGGCCATGGAGTAGTACCATGGTGGGGTGGACCATGGGACGTGTCTGTCTGCATATCCAGAGTCTGTTATATCTTTAACCAGACTGTCTTGTCATCTTCATGACATAGGTGCTGTTCCTCTCATTGTATGTATTTCAATTTGCTAGTTTTTGTTGCCATTGTAAATGAAATATGTATCCACATTTCATTTCTTGGTCCTTTTCACCAGAGCAGAAAAGCACGCTGATTTTTGAATGCACATTGTATCCAGTCACTTTGCCACACTGCCCACTTCCTTTCATTCTAGAAGTCTGGTGCCCCCTGGTCTTGGCGGAGCCCTGCTGTCTGCTGTGACTGCATGGACACCCCAGGCTCGCCTGGTACGCTTCCTGGCCTGGGCCTGGAACCAGCCATGTATCCAAGAAGCCCTGGGTTTTGTTGGTAGGAAATGATCTTTAGGGGCCATAATATGGGGACTGGGACTGCTCACTGCCCCGAAAGTCACAGTTTCTGGGCCTTCTCAGTCAACAGAGACAGGAACGACATACACGAGGCTGAATCCCTCATGAGCTCACGCAGAGCACGTACAGCTCCGATTCAGGAC